GATTGTATCCTTTGATGATTTTGGTTATTCATTTTATGTCTTATTGCGTTTTGTAGCTCAACATGATCGCTTGTAATACCTTATTCGATATGAATATCTCCATTAATCACGAAGTATCTCTCTGGTACCGATCATTCTGTCGTTAATAATCAAATAATCAAATGACAGAATTTCGAATAAGGGAATATAAGTCACTCCTGAAAATGTAAAATCTACAAGCAAGATCTGTTTTCCCTCCCAGTATCTTTTGTCTCTCTTTTCCCAATTTTTTTATTTTTTTTTTTTTTTTGGCAGTATTATTTTTTATTGTTTATATATACTATATAGTTGTTAATTTCTATGTCTTTTGGTTCCTTTGTGGTAGAGTTGTCTCATTGGCGATCATATCATTTTTTTTTCATTTTAGAATTTTACGTTAGAAATTAAGCAGCCACCACTCAATTAATCACGCAGTTTTAGACTCGAGGAGACCTACAGTTACTGCTATTTTCATTCGTAGACATTTTGGCAAATATTCAGATTTTATGTATCATTATGTTTGTGTTGAAAACCATTTGACACTTTTAACAATATTTAGCATGGGAAAAGTAACTAATGGCACGATTAATTGAAATTGAGCATTAAAAATACCAAGAGAATTGATTTAGATATAAACTTAGTCTTACGCTTGCCTGTTGTTTTAATTCATACATTTTTCTTATGTTTGCCGGTTTTAAAATCTATTTTTTTTTCAAAAGTTATTATATGTCTTTCAACATGGAATAAATTTCATCGAGTACATACAACCTTACTTTTGTAACAAGCATCAAAATTTGATATTAACTTAACAGAATAACCACCACTAAATGTAATAGTAAGGACAATTTCGCATGATAGAGACGCAACCTGATTTATTAAATGACAGACTAAAAATTCAAAATCAGTAAAATTGTTATAGTAACAAACCACTGGCGTCTGTGCTGATAGTTCTTTCTGCGAGTATCATATGATAGTCCATCAACAGCGGTAACGACCCACTCCAAAAACAGACAATTATGTAGCTGTATTTTCGTATAAAGGAAAATTGTTAAGGGAAGATCATTTTTCGTGAAGACGTGGGTGACTCTATTATGTAAATGTTTTATATTTAGAAAACGTTACATTAAAACATCATTCTATTGAAATGAGAATGCTTGTGAAGCAATACCAGTTATATTTGGTGTACCGATAAAGACCGGAGAGTCTGAGTTAGAAATACGTTGACGATAAAGTGCAATGCTTTTGTACTCTTAGATATGAATCCCTACACCAGCTGGTGTTTGTTTACAAGCTACGCAGTTGATGTAAAATTATACAAACAACATTTTCTTAAGTTATATATTACTCATTATGCATATCAGTTATCACATTCGTATACAATCGTGTTTTGTCTTAAGCAAATTTGTTTTATAAATCTATCAACACACATCTGCACCTAGATTGCTAATGATATTTAAGGTGTCGATAATAAGAAAAATATATGACATGGGAATGAAAACTGGTTATAATAACTTTAAAGAAAAAAGTATAATTTATATATATTAATACTACATTCTGAATGAAATAACCGTTAAAAAGATAAATAATTTACTTAACAAAAGTGTTGACTTTATCTTGGTATCCGCAGTCTAAATGACTTCAAATAATTTTTTTGGAAATAAACATCAGTTATGACATTGTTTCTTAGATATTGAGTTTTCCTTGTGTGTTGGGAGGTTCTTGTTCATGTTCAACTCCATCCGCTTTCGTTTCTTATAAATATTTTTTTCAGGATTTTATAACGCGAGAAAACGAAATTAATCATAAAAAATGGAACTACATAAAAACAGTGAAATTAACACCTTGCCCATTCAAACATCAAAACAATCATTGCGCATGTATGTTAATATTAAGACAATTGCTTTGGCGTATAAAATAAACCTCCGATTGGCAACATATACAATACTGGTGAACTCATCTTTCTAATTTCTTTCAATACATATATGTATATATAATCAGCAGTTCGACAGTTGTAAAAAATGTGTGCAGTTAGAGAGTGAATACAAGTGCATCTATTATTGATAATCTCCTTCGCGAATGCAGAATTAAATCTCACTATCAAAGTTATTATCAGATTTAACAGGATCTGCTTTGTAATGCTATGTGGCCTCCTAAGAGTATCTTTGCATGATATTTCAATCAACTGTTAAGAGCAAAGAAGATGTAATGAATCACTTCCGGTGACAAAGATTATTTATACTATTTTAGGAATTGGTTTATGGTGTTTGGTCGGTACAATGTATTGACATTAGAAATTCAACTAATGTCAAATTAACACTTCTTACAATTTTGATGAATTGTGAATATTGAAAAACATACTTCCTTAATTCCTAATTCGATACAAGCTGCATATTGTACATGTTGTAAGGAAAAGCGGTATGACTAAATTCTTTTTTTTAAAATTGTCATGATTATAGAATTGACATGGTTCCATCGTTTGTGTAATATCTAGTCCGACTTTTGAAATTGATATTGTTTTATTATATATTCAGTATTTTTTTGTAACACTTTCTTATATGGTGCTGTATGAGCCAGATTTGGTAAAAACACTGGGTAAAGTAATTGCAAACTTTTTAAGATAACATTAAATCCCCATTAAATAAAACATTTTGTCATGCTGATTACAAAAAGACTAATGGAAAAAAAAAGAAACATATAACTACTTGAAACTTGCATCTGATAAAACATTTGTGTTCAAAGTGCTCATTGAATGTTCATGAAATAAAAACAATTGCGATTAGTTCTAACCTCTATTTAGAACTGTGAGAATAGTCTGTCATCGAAGTTCTACTATACAACTGTTCTAGGGTAGAATTGTCTGGATACCTTATAGGGTATAACTATCCGAGTTATTTCTAGAGTAGAACAGGCAGATTCAGTTCTAGAGTACACCTGACAGAATCGGTTGCAGGCCAGAACTTGCAAACAATGTTCTAAGGTATAACTGTCAAAATCTGTCCTAGGGTAGAACTGTCAGAATCTGTTTTAAATGACGTAAATTGGAGCAGCTCTCTGGTTGTTATTTAGAAAACAAGGGCAGGTAGATGGGTTTTATATGTTATTCTCATTTTAGATTTTAAAAAACGAACAGTTAAAACAACTAGTGTTACATGATCGCAGTATAACGTCTCAAATTTGCTGTCAGTATAATGTTTTTGATCGGTCAGTTATCATTTGTTGTAACCATAATTGCGTTTTTTTAAGCACTTTAAAATTTGGATTTAAATTAAACTACGGATTTCTTCGATAATCTGTAAAATCTGAAAAGTGATAACCATTTTTTTTTGCACCAAGAAGACTTAACGCAGAGATTGCGATTTCATTTTTTCAACGAATCCTCTTCTATTTTGTATAAAAACTTCAATTCATCAAAATACCCCAGATGAGTTCGACGATCAGAAAAACCTTAAATGAAATTTCCAGGCAAAATAGCTTTTTCTATTTATGAAATCCTCTTTAACTGATAAGAAGGTTTCCGATTAATACAACATTTGTGTTCTATCTTTTCGTACTTTCAACAATACAAACTTATATTATCTGCATTTCTAAGACAATGTTAAATAGTGAAGTATGCAGTTAGTGATAAAAGTGCATAAATTTTTATATTTCGATCACCGCCTTCACAAATGCAAATCAAACGCTCACTTTTAAAGCATTACCAGAGTTAACAAGATCTGTTTAAATGCTATGTGGCTTCTAAAAAGTATCTTTGCGTGACATTTCAACAAACTGTTATTAGCAGAGAAGCAGTAATAAATTTTTTAAATTAATGGCCAAAGATTAATCATACTGTTTTAGGAATCAGGATATATTCATTGTTTTGTCGGTACAATGTATTCACAGACGACAGAAGAAATTCAAACATGTCAGATTTATACTGCATACAAAATTGATGAATTCGCTGTTTTTCAATATAATATGTTCTCTTTGCTAATTGTCTAATATTGAAACCATTATGATAATTATGTTGAAATAATAACCTACGGCTAGAAACTCATTTTCAACGATTTCTGAATATTTTTGATCTTTCATTACTGGGATAACCTTGACAAAAAATACCTTATGGTGTAAATGATACACATACATGCATGTCGACTGTCTAACATGGTCTGTGCTACCTTACATAACCATTACTTCTTTTAAGAATTCCCCAAAAAATCCCCTATTCTAGAACTGTGCTAACTAGATGTCAACTAAACTTTAAGGACATCCTTTTTCAGAATTATTAATAATGTCATTTAAAGAGACAAAATTAAAATTGTCAATGATTCCAAAATCATTCTGTCAATAGAACATCAACTACATTCATGAAATGCCTCTATCAAAGGGGTCAATACAATGATTTTAATTGGTAAAAAAGATTTTTGAGTTGCACTTTCATTTTTATACGGAGCATGTTGTATTATTCTTCAGTATACATATGATATTGTCTTGTTCAAAATACGAAGGATTAACTACCCTAGAAATAGATTAACTAATCTGTACTTGACAAAACATTTCCGATTTTATAGCCCTCAATGCTCTGCGACTTTTAGCCTCTTTTATTGGAGCGTCACTGATTAGTCCTTTGAAGGCGAAACGCGCGTCTGGCGTACGAAATTCTTAACCTGGTATTTATGATGTGTTTTTTGTTATTGAGTAATACAATTTTGACATTCGCGGCGCATTGTTTCTATTAGATATGGAAGTCTGACATCCTTTAACAAAATTGATCATAGATTAAAAAAAAAAAGAAAAGCATGGCTTTAAACATTATGTAACTTATCCTAACAAAAGCTAAATAACATGTCAAACGTCCAGACAGATGAATAAAACTCATGCAAAATATTCAAAACATTCGGCAGGAAGTTGGCTAATGACATTTCAGTAATGTGCAACGTTAATAGGTGCTTATATTTCTTATTTACAAACATTTAATTTACATAGAAGCAGATGAGATGAACTGTTTTATATTGTAGTAACATACTATAGTGAATGCATGCGAAAAGAAAACTTCAACAATGACAGTGACTTTATTAGGCAAATTTTTTAATTTTTATAATCATGATGCAGATTTTTTTAAATTAGTATTGTAATTCTAATATAGGAAACTTTTACGAAAAGGTTAAACATGTCTTAATTGTTTAATGTTTCAAAATGAAGTTACATACAACATTCTGCTTAAATGGACTAAATCACTTGTGGAAAATGTCAAGGTAAGATTCATTATTAATCATACTATTATGACATCTCTAATGAACTCAAATGACGATCATAATTATGGTAACATTTTAGTGTAGATGTTTAAAGATGAAACTAAGTATTTTTTTTAACATTTTGGTCTATATAGTGACAAAAGGCTCATGTTGAAACAAGGAAATTTTTCTATATTAACATCTTGACAACTTCTTTTTTCATGTTGTTGTCAAATACTATAAAATTCCTAAAGAAAGTTGTTTCATAACGTTTTATATTTGTTTCTCTAAATATTTGAATCAAATGTGTGATCATGTGAATAAAATGCTCCTAATTGTTTCGTCCCCCTTTTTACAGGATAACTTCATCTTGAACTGTTTTTTGATGTGTCATTGCGATTGTTACAACATTACATTATCGTTATTGTCATTACTTGCTAATGACTACAGAGCAATAGGACAGTTGCAATGTATTTGCATAATAAGGGACAGATATGTTCTAGTTCTATATTTTTTTGTTAAATATATCTCACCGTTGGCTCAGTAACATTTGATCGTATTTATATGTATATCTGTCCATCTTTTATTTTTTTAAATATTGTAATTTTTTGTGTTTCTGACATTTTTCCCAGTTTTGCCGGTATCCTTGTAAACTCCGTATGATTTCCATTTTTCTATAGGTGTAATACCACTAAATAAATAGTACGTCACATCCGGTTTCATACGAAAAGGGTCGAACGAAAAAAAATTTCCCTTCAATTTGACAGACATTTACCCTGCATTTCATTGCAGAAAAAAAAAATATGAGTCATAAACATATATTTTGGGTGTTTCAAAGCACCAGTCTTTTTTTATTTGCCGTTCCTATAACATATTTTGGAACCTTTAGGTTACTAAAGCTTGTTAACAGTGAGAAAAGGGGTGAAATTTTGATTGGTTTACTTCCGGTGATGGTTATTATCTTGTATGCACTGAAATGTTATTTGAAATTTTCACTGTAGTACTGCACAGTATGAAACTTTACTCATGCAAATAATTTCTGTATTATAAACAAAGATAGATTCTGCTCATTTTTTTGAAAAATGCCAATTTAAGAGAGACTAATAGGGGGAAACAATGGTGGTATTTCTCCTATACCTTTTTATCAATTATTGACAATTTGCTTTTATGACTTGTGCACATGCCCAACATAATCGTATTCCCTTTGGTGATTTTTGTTAAAGATCATTTTGTCTAGGATTTATTTTTCAGTTTTCAGAAGTGTTGATGTTTACATGTCTTTTGTACACTTGTCTTCTTGGTGTTATGTATTTGTGTCTGTTGAGTGTGTATTGTATTGTTTCACGTTATATCCAGTAGTGAAACATTCAACTAAGTAATACTATTTTTTTTTTTGTTGATTATCTAAATACATCTCTATTCAATTAGAATCTATTTTTTTTAATGGAAGCTATTTTCACAAAACATTATTTTTTTCATTTCAAACTTCTTAATCCGCTCATGTCTACGGGTCATTCTATAGCCAACCACTTAACTCCTTTTATATTTAATGGTTGACATGTGATATGGGCTAGACGTCTACTAGAAAGCAGCTGAACGACAAAAAAAAACAACAAAAAATAGAAGGCAACATGCCGTCTGTATTGAAATATGTAAAACTGTGAATTGTCCCAACTGTATGAAAACAGTAAATAATTGTAACGGAAGTAATTAAAGATATGCCACTAATATCTTTAGTTTTTAAATGGTATCTTTGATCTAATATCATATGAAAAATCTGAAGCTGAAAACGTGAAGACTTGTTAACAGTTTAAACAATTTTTCAGATATTTCGTAATGTAAATACAATACTGATGAGACATTTTGCTCAAAGTCATTCCAGTACGGTTCATTATCTTTTCAGACAATTCAGTTTGTTAATATTTTATACAGTTAGGCAAATAACTAACAGATACTGAATAATATGAAAATAGACTGCACCCATCTAATAAGTTGAATACAAGCGTAAAGTGTGACACGATATCTGACATTGGACAAGGACAGGCAAAATTTGTAAGCTTTATAGACAACATTACTATAACAAGACATTTTCGGAAGTCCACTTTGTATTGCATCTAAGTACGTAGAATCGTACTTCCACAAGAAAACTAAATAGTTGTGATCTAATTGAGTAACATTTGATCATTTTATGAAATCTAAATTCCTGCTAAAGTTATTATTTTTTTTTAGAAATGAAAAACAAAATACGTTCATTGAAATCCCTGATATTATAGCAAACACGAGTATAGCCAACCAGCTACAAAATATATACTCAATAAGGTTATAATGTATAGTACATTATACATGTACATGTAGAGTAACATGGATACAGTATTTTGTGGAAGGAACACAAAGAGTCAATAACAACTGGCTGTCTGTGATTGGTTGTTATATTATTTGCATTTTATTTCTACTGAAAAGCATGTAAATAAATTTTCCTGCAAGCAAAATTTTGTTATAGAAAAATATGGTATTGAGGACCGAAACTTGTTTTTATTTAATCATTTTGAACATTGCGCATGTTTTCTCTGTCTTTCGATGGATGAATTCGGCTTCGACCCTTGGGGTTACTTTTCCGTGTAGTTATTCAAAAGTTCACAGCGCCTATCAAATGTTTGAAGGTCATCAGGCAACCTCTGTATACTAATGATGTTTCACTTGTATTTTTTGGTTGATGTCTCAACTTAACCATAAATATCTTTATTACAGTATCATATGTTATTTTTAGAGAACATCACATTCGAGGTATGAATTTTAACTTCATTGTCCGAATTTCGCATTTCTCTAATGAAATCAATTTCTGCCAGACTATTTTTGGGGAGGAGGTTGCATAGACATAGAGACAAGACACTCTCTTTCCGTTAAATAAAAACAAAATAAAATCATACCATTAAAATATTATTTATTGTTTTCTGTCTGCTGTTACGACAGCAAATAATTACTTTTATCATGTTTTTACTTTGAAACTGATGAAACGGAAATAAGAGGAAAACTAATTGAAATTGAATACATACCAACAGGGTTTCTTGGTTAAATTATTCGTAGAGAATTTTTCTGCAAGAAAACATTCAACAATTGATATCTTTTCAATGATACTAGAGGTCACAATATTTGAAAATCAAAACCTAATAGAAACGTTGAAGAGCTGATTAAATTAAAAAAGAATTAAATGTGTGGGCGAACCAGGACGAGGAATCAGTGCAATGCACGAGAGTGATACATTCCATAACTTAAAATTTAAGATTGAAAAAGCAAACTTCAGTACAAGAATATTTGTATGATCATGACAGTGCCGTTGTAGTGTCCATTTGCATTTGTAATTTACTAAATTTGTACTTTGACTATTAGGGGTGAGAATTCAATAAAAAATCTCCCATTGACTTTAATGCTAATCTATGTCTTGAATTAAATGTATACCTGATTTACCTTTAGAAATTGGAAGAATAAAAACATAGGGTCATGCGGCATTTTTGGGCATTCACATGGCCTTGTTTACAAACACTGTAGATTCGCACTTAATTCCTTTACTGACCCCCATTACTTTTAAACCCTGTAGTAAAAACATTTAGTACATTTAGCATTCATTTTTTAATTTTTTTTTAACTCTAGTTTTGATCCATCTATCAAAAAATATTTATTACAAACATTATCTACCAATCAGAAGAGCACAGGACTTCAGTTTTGTACAGAAAGCTCTCCCCCAAATGGGCGGTCCCTGATGACGTATATTTATTTACTGGATTTACCCCATTACGAAAGTGTGTATGATGTATGGTTTTGCTACACTTTATGTACTATCAACTACACAAATTATATTATTGATCCCAATCCGTGTCACTTTAACCAATTATGTCTGTTTTAAAATAGTCGAGCGTTTAATTTTGTTAGGTTTTTGATGGACTTCCCTTTTTTAGAATTAACCTTGAAGTTCATTATCTTTGTTAATACTTTTTCTTTCTATTAGATCTACCTAATTTGTTATGGAATGAAAGTGTTTCTTAATAAATCTGGCAATTAGTTTTATCGTCTGAATTGTTTCGCATAGTTTTGTCAGGGGCCTTTCAAAGCTTATACGATATGGGTTTTGCTTATTGTTGAAGGATCGTATGGTAACCTCCAATTGTTTACCTTTTTTTATTTCAGTCCATGATTGTGTCTTACTGTATTTTTGCATAAATCTTTGACTTTCAAAATTAGTTCGGAGTTAAGTACCTTAGATTTATCATGTATTTTCTATTATTAGCTGTTTTACATCTTAAAAATCCGTTCATAAAATCCTTCGTTTGAAATGAAACGTCTTATACTATGTATAAATGAAAAAAAGAAAGGCGTACAATCACACATCATCAGCATTTATAAAACTTCTTAAATCATCCAACTAAAACATGGATTATGATAACGGACAAATTCAACGGTCTTCAAACTAGTTTACCGATATTAAAAAAACAAAACATAATCTTTCTTAACAGTTAAGTGTATACAAACTCATAAATTAAATAAATGAAATAATGTATACCTAAATAAACAGATTTTGATGGAGGCAACACTTTGTGTACGCTCTTTTAAACTTATTGCGTTCAACACTTTAATCCTGGTATCTTTGATGAGTTTATTTCAAGCATATTTAGGCACGCAGCGATTTAAAGCGTGACATTTTTAAATCATCAACAATGATGTTTTGATCCAAAGATATCGTTTTTGATCGATGGTGTTGATTGATTGACATTTAATTGTAGGACAACGTGCATATCCTTTTATCAATATTACTCTTTAGAATGATATCATGAAACATTAAAAACCAAAGTTACTGTAGTTATTAGAAAGAAAGTGTACGATTCAATAAGTGCCCATTTCAACTAAACAGCACACAAAGATCAGATTTGATCGTAATGTAGAATACTAGGGAAATTGCTGAGTTATACTTCAGATTACTTCAATTTCTAGTATCTAAAAAATGAAAATATAGTATATTGTACTACACA